CACGAGTAGAACATTTTTCCACACTACAAGAAAACGGGTGAATTCCGATGGCCAATGTCGTCCGAATTCCATAAAAAACAGCAATTCCAAAAAAAATTCCGATGGAAATTTGTCGAAATCCATCAGAAGTTCCTATGACATTCTGAAAAAATCCAACGGCCACATTTTCGATGGATAACCAATGATAGAGTTTTCGGGAAGATGTTGTCTTTAATTTATCGAAAACAGTTTTGACCAAACTGAGTCATCGGAAATATTGATGTTTGTATATTCTGACGAAATAACTCGATCGAAAATTTCGAAGAAAATAATTTTATCAGACCGTTCTGATGACACATTTCTGTCAGAAAATTCCGACGACATTCCAAACAAACTGTTTTGTCAAAAAATTTCGACGAATAAGGTTTGTCAGAAATTTTCAAAGACTATATTTGGTCGGAATAACTCTTTTTGGTCGGAATCTATATTTATAATTATCAATTTTAAAATACTTATATAATTTTAGTTTGCTTTATATATTTATATTTTAATTAAATAAATCGATAAAAAAACTTAAGTTCAAAACAAATATTTTACAAATTAAGTTTATATAATTAAAAACAACATTTAAAATTTTTTAATTTAAAAAGGTATAAAATTTTGAACGAAAAAAATCTCATCTTGTCCAATATCTCTTAGTTAGTTCTCTATATTCAAAGCCACTTCGCCTCCATTTGAGCACGAATTGTGACATATATGGATCTCCAACTCTACAATCCGGCCATCCTTGTTCTGCAGCTGCTCCACAATCATGGGATCAGTATATGGGGCTGGTGAAGAAGAAGGATAAGAAGACGCACGACGAGCCAACCCGACCAAACGAACTTTCTTCTTTGGAACCACCTATTAAAAAAACTTAAATAAAATATAATAAAATTAAAAATCTAAAAAAATACCTCTTCCACCATTTGGTTTATTCAAACTCAAGACAAGTTGGTGGAATTGCCGAGGAATCTTCATCAGAGTTTGGCTGAGAAGTTAGAAGTTATCGATGCATACATCTATCACCTGATATGGTAAACCAAGACCTGCTCCGTACAAGTTTCTGAACCTCGATCATAGTATGAACCTGGTGCAAGATTTTCCTCTGGTAGAACACCTCCAAAAAATCAGCAATCGCATCCACGAATCTTCAAAAAGTTATAATATGTCTTAATACCCATCAATCTATTTGCAGATGATAAGAGTGAATGGCCATCTATACGTTCTTTGTAGAAAAGTTGTTTTCCTACATCCAACATGTCAAAAAGTCTCTTAGATTCTGATCAGTACCTACACAATAATATATATCCGTTCTTGGTTCTTCTAACTTATCCATAGTCTTAGGTTTGCTAATACTACCATATTCATAACCAGTTTTCCCATGAAGATATTAAACCTTATATTTCCGTGTAAACTTTTTCAAATATATATGATTCCAAACATCTCATTCCTTTAAAAATCTACTATTATAGCAGAAAGATCATAGACATCTTAACATACTGGTATTCTCTCCCAGTTGTTGTTGAATAAACCTCATGATACCGCTAATACCTTCTACGTATTATTCCGTAAGTAAATTGGTATTTGGATACCTATGAGGTTTATTCATCCACGAACAATAATAATATCCAGAAGGCATGATTTTTTTTTTTGGAGTTTTAGTGACTGAAGAGAGTGAAGTGAGAATACAGAGTGAATGAGGGGAACTCAGCTTAGCCCGGACAGGGACAACCAAAGCAGGAACTTAGAGACTCCTAGTAATAAGGGGAGATCATATTTATACAAGAATGTTTTTGACACTTTCAACAGATTGCCGGCGGAAAAATTAAATTTCTTCGGAATTCCGTCAAATATTTCAAAACATAAAACTGCTATAAAATGGTTGTCGGAAATTCCGTTGGAATTTCAAAGATAATTTGTCAGAATTCTTAGGAAATTTTGTGGGAAATTGTCGGAAATTTATTTTTTTCAAAATATTAGCAGCAGTCATAAATTTCGTCGAAATTTTGTCTAGAAATTCTAAAAAAAATCCGACGAAATACCGATGAATGTTAAAATAAAATGTTCGTCAAAATATGGTCTCAGAAATATCTGACGACTTTTTGTCTGTCGAAACCTTCGCCAGAATGCACATAGTTTTGTTGTAGTGCCGTGACTTAGATATAAATATATAAAAAACCTACTATATTGACAACAAAACAACAAAATGCATATATACAGGTACACAAATATACTAAATCAGATTTGAAGGAGAACACTTTGTTCATAAAATATCAAATCAAAGTCGAAACAGAAATTGTTATTACACGAAAACAAGTATCAAGAAACATAAGAAAGGTTAAATAACCTCACATATTAAACAAGGTTATTTGCCAACTAAATAAAAACAACTTCACAAGTGCTAGAGCATCTTGGTATTGCAAGGAGTTCGTGGAGAATGACATACTTTGCTAATTAGGAACAACATGTCATCCAATCAATCTAAGCAAAGTTTTTAACTGACCCAAAATAAATCCTCATAAATCGATCGAGAAAAAATAAGGAAATGATAAGATAACTGATTCCAAAATCATAATTAAAGAAAAAGAGTAAGAGTCAACAAATCTTTAAAAAACCGTTAACAAATAAGATCGGCTAAGTTTTCTGAAGAAAAAGAAGAATATGGCCGACGGGACTTAAACCTCTTCTTCTTTCTCCACCATCACGAACATGCTGTTTTAGATGATTGTAGGTGAATCCAAGAGTTATATATGTGTCTGTGTCACTACAAGAAAACATATATTTTTTACGAGGGTTATATTTGTTGTTAATTCGTCATAATTGGACAATTCCGACGAATTAACAAGGAAATGCATTTCGTTGTTAAACGCCCGTCGTAATGGACTATTCGTCGTAATTTCCATGTAACGTTGCAAGGAATAAATTTAGTTGTAAAAAAGGAAAGGATTCGTCATAAAGTCCACCGTACACTTCGTCGTAAACTCTTCATTCCCTTTCCTCGTAATGTACTCGTAAACATTTCATATTAACTCCTTATAACTTTACGAGGATTTTACTAGTCTTCCATGTAAGCTCGTAGTAAAGTTTATGAGAAAATTACTAGGAATTCAATGTTAACTCATTTAAAATTTATGAAGAAAATACTTGGTATTCATATTTTTATATTTCTTTATTTATATTATTTTTTATTTATAAAATTCGTAATTTAAATTATAAAAACAAATATTAAAAATTTTAATTGTTTTAAAAAGTCATAAAATAATATATAAATTTATAATACAAATCAAAACAAAATAAAAGAAACTACGACATGTTGTCTCCGAGGTACTCGTCGGGCGGGTTCATTCCGGGCCGCGTTGACCGTCTGAGTTGGGAAGATGTTACTGCATTCCGAGAGCCGCTCGTCTTTCAGTCAACGCTCTCTGCATAGCCGGGTTCCGGTCGCCATAATGTCCAGCAGATCTTCAAGTGAGTCCAAACGCTCCTGCTGGGAGTCCATGCGAGTACACATCTGAGAAGTTTCCTCATCCCGTCTCGAAGTGTATGAAGAAGTTGCCCTTGGGACTTCGTTGACGGAGCTTATTCCCACCGTCTGTTCCTTCTTTTTAGGAGCCACCTTTTTTACAAATAAAAAGTTATATAATACATTAATATTTAATCATATATATAAAAGAATTAATATAAACAAATTAAAATTTATTCGAAAATTTTACCTCTTCAAAAATCCGGTTGACTTCTTCTGTAGTCAATGTGATGGGTAATCTATCGGGAGCCTTCTTGGTTAGCTGTGTCTCCCGCTCCTCAACCCAAGAAAACACATCGTTATAGAGTTTCTCGGACTGTAGATCCACAAAAACTCCATCTGGTGTGGCGTGAGTCATCCTGAATAGTTCAGTCAGGGATGGCATGACTCCGGTCTTCTCGGCCTACAAACACAAAGAGTTAATTTAAAACAAAAAAACTTAGTTAATAAATAAAATTTAAAAATAATTTATATATTAAAAATAAAATTTACAACATCTAGATGGATCCCGGCGTGAGGTGTTTGCCCAGTTCTATAGAGCATGGGGTCATTGCCGTATTTTTCCTTCATTCTTCGGGAAGAAAAGTACGAGTTGGACTTTTTGACTGAGGAAGGTAGGCTCCAATAGCGGATGAGACCATCTCATACAAACTTCGAGATCTCCTTGGTCTTCACTTCATAACCGTAGAGTTCCCAATTGTCCTTCCAATCCGAGACGGTGTTGCAAAGGCGAGTCTTGGCTTTTGCTACAAAAGTCTCATTCACCTTCTCTTTGATCTATAAGGACCAATGCCACTTTTGGTGAAACAAAGAAAAATAAATTTTAAAAATATTAAGAAAATAATATAAAATTAAATATTAAGTATTTTTAAAATATTTACTGCAAAACATTTTAAACCGCGTTATCTTCACGTGGTCTGGAGTCATACTCCAGTTCGGATGAGGCTCGAGAAAATACCCTTTCATCGTGTCTAAAACACTCCGGCTGAGGCGGTTATTCATTCTAAACCTGAAAAGAATATCAACTTTAAAAAAAAATTACAAAAACTTTTTAAAAAAATTACCAATAAGTACCCCGCGGACGATCGGAGTCCAGAATATCTAAACCCTATCGCCCTGGTTGGGCAAGAAGATCATCCACGGTATGTGCAGCATATGGTGCATTTGAAGGTACCCGCAAAACTGGATGAACCTGATCACCGCCTAGTGGAGCGGGAGCGGGAGCGGGAGCGGGAGCGGGAGCGGGAGCGGGAGCGGGAGCGGGAGCGGGAGCAGGTGGAGCTGCGGGAGGTGGAGGCATCTCATGATATGGTATCTCATTGGCGGGATAATATGCCTGATAATCAGGTATAGGCTCAGAGGATGACGGTCCGGAAGAAGATGTCCCGACACCATCAGTACCAAACATCTGACTATAAGTAGGACGTGGTCCAATCGGTCTCAGTACATGAGTCATCTAAATGGAAATAAAAAAATCTCATCATCTGGTTATCTTAAACTTATCACCTAAACTAATTACGTAACATAATTACCTAACTAACTACCTAAACTATTTACCTAATTAACTACCTAAACTAAACTTTAAAAAAAAAAAGAGCAGAGAGAGGAACTTACCATGAGAGGGAGAAGAGAGTTGGAAGGAATGAATGAGCTAAGAGCCTCGTCCGGGTATCTTCTTCTTCTTCTTCTATTATAATATTATATTACACATATTATTATATTAAACAACATCCGTTACATCATCCGGAATCATTCGAGTTCTCATCAACATTGGGACAATCATCATCGCTACCATCAAACTCATTTTCACATGCTTCATCCATCACATCGTCGGGAAGATCTTCGTACTGACGGCTATGCGGATTAATAAGAAGAATTTTATCAGTTTGGAGATACACACTTCTTCTTGCAAAGTTGGTTCTTCTCCAGCAATTATTCGTCCACGAGGTGTAATCTTGATAACAACTTGAAAGGTTCGAGTTTGTTGTATCTTCTTACAAAATTGACAGCCACAACACCAAATTTGTTAAAACGAACACCCTGTTCACAACATGATCAAATCACTCACATTTGAAGAGGACACATTTGAGCTTCAATAATCCCACAAATTTTACTTCAATAATCTACTGCAAAATCCCTTAAAAGTATGTTTCGCACTATACTTATCCTCATCACTAGACCATCATATTTCTCGCAATCTACCACCAAACCGTCTAATTTGGCAGAAAATGTTAGGAACATTGCTTATTGGGTATGTGGGGACGACTCCACCACCATCATATCTTCTAGGAACTCCTTTTCTAGTACGTACTGTTCGTCCAAAGTAGTATGATGTGAAATAGGATGTTTTCACTGTCAAACTCTCAGCAATTATTGAACCTTCCACCTTTGCAAGATTTTCTGCTTTCCCTTTCAAATGTTTCATGGAGCGCTCATACAGATACATCCATCCGTGGTGAACAACAAGATGTTCCATGACGTCAAAAAATGCTGGAGTAAATATTTTCTCTAAGTTGCATAATATGATTAGAATGTTCTCATAAAGTTGTTCGATAACTTCTTCCTTGAATGTACATGTGCTTAGGTCTCTGAAGAATGCTCCAATGGCTGGATATTGCAAAATTAAGCTAGTGAATAACATTTCATAACATATTAATATTAACTAATCAACAATATTTACGTGCAAGTTCTTCATGTACATTTGTTGGAAGCAACTCAGCAAAAGCAAATGGAAGTAGTTGTTGCATAAACACATGACAATCATGACTCTTCAATCTTAAGAACTTTTGACCTTGTTCAACACATCTTGAGAGATTAGAAACATATCCATCAGGGAGCTTAACTTCTGATGCAACCTAGTTAAACAAAGTCGTCTTTGCTTCTGATGACAATCGGAAAATAGGAACATGAATGTTTCCATTGCTTTTGATATGTAACTCACTTCTTAAGAAAATATCAGGTAAGTCCATCATTGACTTTTTTTGCTATCTTTTATCTTCCCACAGACGTTCAGTATTGTATTCATGATGTTGTTAAAGAAGTTCTTCTCTATATGCATAACATCGAGGTTGTGGCGTAAAAGAAGATCCTTCCAATAAGGTAGCTGCCAAAATATACCCCATATCCATCAAGCATATTTCCAGGAACATGCCAGTTTTCTGCACGCAGAAAAGTTTCCTGAGCTCCGTAGTAATCAATTTACGCTAGGATCTGTTCTCCAGTAGATATGGAGGAGGACTATCTCTGACAACTTTTTTGTACCTAAACAATGTCTTATTTCTTCTGAACAGATGGGTAAGGGGATGAAATCGACGATGACAATCAAACCAACAACTCTTCCTATACCATTCTTTAATTGAAAAGCATATGTTGATCCAAGACAATGTGGACAAGATAACCTTCCATGTGGCATTGTAAAATTGTTTTTCATGGAACAATCACATGTTCTCACCCCTTCTTATCACAAGTCCTTCAGCTCTTGTATCAATGGTTGAAGAAAAACATCTAGCGACCGCTTTGGATGCTTCAGACGAGGGATTAACATGGTCAAGAATAAAAATTCTTGTTCCATGCACATCTCCGGAGGCAGGTTGTACGGCATAAGAATGACTGGCCACAGAGAATATTGTCTCTTGGACATTTCAAATGGTTTAAATCCGTGTGTGCATAACCCAAGATTGACATTTCGAATATTTATTGTGAAATATGGGTGTACCTTGTTGAAATGTTTCCAAGCTCTTGCATATGATGGATCTCGCCATCCCTCTGGACATGTTCAGCATGCCACATCTTTGCTCCGACAGTCCTCTCAGATTGATATAATCTTTTCAGCCTATCTGTAATTGGTAAGTACAACATCCTTTGGTACGGTACCCTATTCCTCCCACGTCCTTTCGGTTTAAATCATGGCTTCTTGCAGAATCGACACTCTTCTAGGTTCTCATCGTCTCTCCAGTAGATCATGCAGTTGTCAATGCAAACATCTATATCTCCGATGGCAACCCAAGACTATAAATCAATTTCTGAATCTCATAATAAGATTCAGCTGACACGTTGTCTTCTGGCAAATACTCTTTAAACAACTCGGCCCATGCATCCATGCAGTTCTCAGATAAATTATGATCCGTTTTAATTTTCATCATCCTAGCTGCTAGAGACAATTTATAGTGACCTTCTCTACAACTAGTGTAGATTGGTTTATATGTAGCATCTAGCATTTCATAAAACATTTTTGCATCCAAATTAAGTTCCTCAACATTTCTGGTTTCATCAGATATTGTTGTAGTAGTTTCTAGATATGCATCATTAATCATTTCGTGAATCCTATCATGATCTACCATCTGTTCAGCAGCCTGCTTATATTCGTTATACAAATGATTTGGTTCCTCATTATTACCGACATTCTAAAAATTACTATTACTAATACTAGCTTGATTTCCTCCATAACCCTCTCCATGTTGAACCAAATATAGTATTGTGGTGTAAAACCTCTATGTACTAAATATTTCTATACAGTCTTAGTACGGGAAATTTTGAAATCTTGCATTTCCGACAAGGGCAGAACATCTTACCACTTTCCTGCGTGAGCGGTGTACAGCCTGCCTGGTTCATGAATGTCTTTAGCCCACTAAGAAATGCATTCTTCACTCTACCGTCGAAATCTTTATTCGTATACATCCAACTCCGCAATTCGAAAATATTCTTCCATCATACATTTTTTTTAGTTGTTTTTCTTTTTTTTTTCGTTTGTGTGTTGGTATGGAATGAGAATGCTCATATATATAGAAAATTCTTCGACCTTGGTAGATGAAATTTTTACTAGGTATTTACAAGGAAATCTTTACTATGATTTTGGTTACAACGTATTTACAATGAATTAAGTTAGGTGAACCACACATTTAAAATTGCTTTCACCTAACAAGGTTCGTCGTAATGGACTTGTAACTTTACGATTACCTTACAAAGAATGTATAAAAAAAATTGAATAATTTTTTTTTTAGATTTCTTCCAAAAAAACTAAAGGGAGTTTACGATAATCGAAACGGTCTTATCAACTCCTCATAGCTATTGATCAACTTCTCAGGGAAAAGCTATGCGGAATTGATTAAAAGTGTTCTGGTGACCGTCCACGCCTTTCAATTTCTTGAAAAATCGATACATAAGTCCTCAGAAATTTTTATTTGATTTTTTTCTTTGTATTTGTTTGTGTGTTGTTAAGATTGATGAGGAATGACATATATATAGGAAATTTTTGACCTAGGTTTGTAAAAATTTAACAATGAATTTACAATGACAAAATTTTATAGGATTTTACAACTCCTTTACATATGCTTTACAACTATTTTATAACGAAAGTAGTTAGGTTAAGAACACGTTTTTATTTACTATAACAGTTAAATGGTTCATCATAAAGAACTTGTAATTTTACTTTGTTTTATGAAAAAGCTTCCATTTCCTAGTACACTCGTCGTAAACTAACATGTGAATTACAACGAAAGTGTTTTCTTGTAATTTTACTACAACTTTACGATGAATTTTAGTTTCCTCGTAAAGTAGTAGTAAACTAGTCATAAAACTACAAAGAAATATTTTCTTCGTAATTCTTCCTTATTAAAGGCATATTTTTTAATAGTGTTGGTGTCAAAAACCGTAATCTCGAAACCAACGTCTACGATAACTTCTGGAATCATTACTTTCCGCAAAAGTCATTTATTAAAACGGAAAGTCGTTTTAATAAAACTCGAGAATCATGTTATAAAACTCGAAGAATCATTTTATAGAACTCGAGAATCGTTTTACAAAACTCGAAGAATCGTTTTATAAAACTCGAAGAATCGTTTTATAAAATTCGAAGAATCGTTTTATAAAACTCGAAGAATCGTTTTAAAAAGCTCGAAGAATCGTTTTACGAAACCGCAAAAAACCGAAAAAACCGTAAAACGCGAACTAAGCCGAGCCGGCTTAGTTCACTGATGGGCGAACTAGGAGACACTCGACTAGTTCGCTGATGGGCGAAATAAGAGACACTCGACTAGTTCGCCGATGGGCGAACTAGGAGACACTCGACTAGTTCGTCGATGGGCGAACTAGGAGACACTCGACTAGTTCGCCGATGGGCGAACTAAGCCGGCCCGGCTTAGTTCGCCGGTGGGCGAACTAGAGACTTCCCGGATATCCCGCGCCTCGATCTCCCGCATCCCCGATTCGAAACTTACGTCTTTCGACACGGTCACATTCTGAACCACGGCCGAAACGTCTCCCGTTCCGTCTCGATCCGACCTATCGTTCGAGTTTTACGATAAAAACCGTAGAACTTCGCTTTCTCGAAAAGAATTCGAGGAAATTGTATAAAACGGCAACGGTTATCGTAAAACGGCCCGAAAGGTCCTAAAACACGATAAAAACCCATCTCGCGACGTTAACGAAATTAAACCCGAAGATATGATAACGCTTTGA